TTCTTTTTTCAATGATTCTGAGAGCGATAGATAGATAGATAGATAGATAGATAGATAGATAGATAGATAGATAGATAGATAATGAACAGAATGATATATCTATCTATCTATCTATCTATCAATATATATATAGATAGATAGATAGATAGATAGATAGATAGATAGATACATACATACATACATACATACATAGATAATGAACAGAATGATATATCTATCTATCTATCAATATATATATATATATATATAGATAGATGAATAGATGAATACATACATACATACATACATACATACATAATGAACAGAATGATATATCTATCTATATAGATAAATAGATATATCTATCTATATAGATAAATAGATATATAGATAAACAGACAGACAGCTAGATATATAGATAGAGAGACGCACAGATAATGGACAGAATGAGATAGAAAGACAGATAGATATAGATAATGAACAGAATGAGATAGATAGATAGATAGATAGATAGATAGATAGATAGATAGATAGATAGATAGATAGATAGATAGATATGAATATCAAAGGTAGACACGCAGTTGGAGATGCATGTTATTTTCCTGCAATATCCTTACCTTCTTCTGACCTGTCATCTTCCATGAACCCTGACCCTGCCCCTGCTGTCATATCCGCACCTTTGCTTCACTCGCTTCACCCTGCCCTACCATCTCTCTTTAATCACCTCACACCTGCCCCTCATCTCTATGACAACTATCAACACTCTTACTAGCATGATCCCCCGCACCACACGCTCAGTTTCAACACCCTTATCCTTTCCAAAGTGCTTCCTTCGTATCTTCAGGGAGACCCTCCTCGTTTTCTTTTCTCCTGCTCTCCTGGGTTCTTCCGTCCCCCTTAATTGACGCGCAACGGAGGATAATTTGTTCGGTTGGTTTAATGACGTGTCACGGCCAATTAATGGAGAATTAATTTGCACTTCATTGCAAATATTTGATTCAATTTGGACACAGAAATTAATGGAGTCAATACCACCAATGCAACTTTCGACAACGACCGTCTCCTCTTCTTTTTCTCATTCGGCTTTTCAAGGGGCGTCCGAAGATGTGGAAAGAAATTAGTGGAACCAAAAAAAAAAAAAAAAAAAGAATGAATAGAAAGAACGTGAGGAGGCAAAGGGTAAAAAAAAAGTGAAGAATGTTCTACGAAAGCATTCATTCGTATGTTGGCGCCACAAAAAAAAAAGAAATAAAAAATGGCCTAGTGAGGCATGACGGGATAGCTCAAAATGAAAAAGTTGTAACCTTCTACTCATACTTTCCCTCTTTATGTTTGCTTTTTAGTTCTTCCATTTTGTCCCGTAATTTTTCTTTATTCTTTTAAATCTAAACAGTGATTTTTAGTGTATATACATCTTTCAGGTACGCTAATTCAATATACACACACACACACACACACACACACACACACACACACACACACACACACACACACACACATATATATATATATATATATATATATATATATATATATAGTATAGTCTGCCCAAAATGTATACACACTTCAGGAATGGAAAATTTTTATAGATATTGTATATACAATATATAAATATATACACACACACATATATATATATATATATATATATATATATATATATATATATATATCTATAGTCCGCACAAAAAATGAATACACACTTCAAGAATGGAAAAACTTTTATAGATATTGTAATACTAAATTATATATATATATATATATATATATATATATATATATATATATATATATATATATATGAAGAAATATAGTTTTAAGGTGTGCTATATTTATGGGAAAAGTGCTCAATATCAGAGATAGAGTGTATGTAAATATATATATATATATATATATATATATATATATATATATATATATATATATATATATATATATATGTATATATATATGGTGCGGCAGAAATATGACACATATACGAGATCTGATCAGAATTATCAGGACAGCAGTTATAAAAAGAAAACTACAACATATATCAATCCGACATTTAATCTCCTTCGAAGTAGCCCCCTTCTTATCCAAAGTCGTTTCCATTGATGGAAGTATTCCTTGAACTCCCTTTTTGGGATAGCGAGCGCGTGCCTCGTCGCATTCTCTTGGATTGCCTCGATGTCTGGAAATCATGTTCCGTTCTAGTGGGATTTAATTTTTGAATAAGAAAAATTCGCAAGGGCCAGCTCTAGGGAATATGATGGTTGCCAGACCTGGGAGATGTTGTGCTTTGCCAAAACTGCTGCACAAGCTATAGTCACCGATGTAATCTCTGTAGTGAGACGACCACACTCTACACACTATCCTTGCAAGTACTGCGATAAACAACGAAAGCGAGAGAGAATGTTATTATTTAGTATGCATGCGTGACAGGGTTTAGCGTGTATATTTTTCTCTAATAAGATTTCTCCAATACTCAGGACGGTAGACGGGAATAAATACATATGCTGTTTAATAAATAAACGGAACGTCTACTCAAATGCGAGTGTCCACTAAAAATAACGTTTAAGTGATACATATCTGTCGGATCAATCATTTTTTAAAAATCCATCCCTTTTCTTTACATATTCATATACATACATATATATTTGTATTTACTCAACCCCCACGAGGTTAGGTTGTGACAAAAGGTCGGTTTAATGTGGGGAAGCCGAGCGCGTACACCCGGGCTTGGAACAAAAATTGCCCACAGCCCCCGCAACCAACGGTTGCGCTGGCCTCAGTTCCACCATTGATTCTGTTCTTTGACGGAGCCGCCCCTGAGCGCACTCTGCCTAAAGACAGAGATGCAACTGAGAGATAATAAATAATGTTCTACAAACTACTCGAGAGAGAGCAATTTACACACTTCATATATATATATATATATATATATATATATATATATAGAGAGAGAGAGAGAGAGAGAGAGAGAGAAACAGATTGAGACAAAGAGAGGGAATTTTGAGTGATTGATTTGTTTTTTACGATTTAACCCTTTTCGTCCATCAAACATCTGAAAATTTGAAGCGTCTCGACTTCAATGTTTCCTTACTACATGAAAACGACGCGACAGATTAAAAAGGACAACAATTGCAACAACTAATCTTCAGTTCCAGACTCTCCATCGCCCGAAAGATATTATTATTATTATTATTATTATTATTATATTTCCTTTGATTTCTGGTGTGTACACATTTCTTTCCGGGTCTTGCACAGAGATTTAAGGTTAGAAATGGCATCATGATATTTTCCACTGACCAATTAAAAAAAAAACTACAAAAATATTTTACATAGATAAAGACCTTCTTAAGATGTGGGCTGTACTCTTGAGAACAATGTTTTGTATTTCTTTAAGGCATGGACTTCCAGGAATCCCCTCAATTAGTCTACTCGAATATTTTCCAACCAATTCGAGGGCTCCAACTATAACAGGGATTGTTGATGTTCCCATGTGCCACATTTTTGAGATTTCGATTTCATTATTATTATTATTATTATTATTATTATTATTATTATTATTGCCCAGACAATTCAGTAAAAGAAACTGAGAAGAAAGGAATAACCAATAATTTTAAGAAGAATGCAATTAGGGTCGTTAACATGAGCGGCAGTTCAAGAGGCAGGCTGCGAATTGGAGGCATCAGAGCAAATACAAACATTGAAATATCTGAGAAATGTTATAAATAACGGCAATCCAATGGCGCATTGGAATAGTGAAAGATGCTTTCCAAAGAGAGAAAATAATGCGGGACTACTACTTAATATCAATACTCCTATATGTCGGTGAATGCTGGACAATTCCCTTACAGACAAAATGGAGACTTGAAGCAATATAGAAGTGCTTCTAAAAAAGAATAAAGAGAATACCATGGAAGGAATATGTAAGTAATTTTTAATAAATAAAAAAGAACACTTTTGTTAAGGATCAAAAAGAGACAATTGAAATTTCTCGTACACCAAATGTGAAAAGGGGCTTGGTGAATTTGACACTCAAAAGTGGAGATTAGGAAAAATCAAATAAACTACTTAATGAAATTGTGCAAATATATAGCAGAATAAGGACTGGAAATGATTGTAAGGGACAAAAATATTTCTTATAGCCACAAAAGATAGGAAGTTGTCGGCAGCCATGATCAACGTACCAAATGAACTGATGCAAATGGGTGGAAGAATAAGGGCTGAGAAGGATTGTAAGGGACACAAACATTGTTTAGGATGTTGTGGAAAGCCATGATCGCATACGTTCTGAATAGATACCGTACATAAAAGAAGTTGTTTCATCAGCTGGAAGCCACAGAACACGGTGTTCAGTAGAAGGCCACTGTAACTCCAAACGATGCAAGACTTCTAATCAGGGTGGCCCCGCAAAACAAAAGCTGTTTTTGTTGTTCATAAATACGACCAAATCAGATGTTTTGTGGCTCGGATAACAATATTAGACAGCAGGCACGCAGTCCGGACTTAATTTTGTGCTACTTAAAATACAAACAAAAATAATTAAATGAGTGTTCTGTTCCAGCGGTGAGCAGAGGCCATGGGAGATGATAAAGAACGTTGTGAATTGTGGGTTGAGAGTGGATGTTACATTATTATTATTATTATTATTATTATTATTATTATTATTATTATTATTATTACATAGTTCATTTAGATATTTATTAAGGACATGTTATCTTTTTTTTTCCTTAATACAGACTCTGCAAGATGTGTCGTTTCTGTTATGAAGCAGGTCCATGAAAAATAGTGACAAGACAGTGTGTAATAGAAATGTTTGGGGAGACTGTTGAAATTAAGAGAAACTGGGAGAGTAACTAGATGTATATATTGAGAGAAGCAGAGGGTGGGTTTTCAAAGAGGGATAACGATTTTGAGCAGGGGGGGGCAAGAGAGAGAGGCCAAGAAATGGAGTGACAAAGAGATGAAAATTAAATGAGGAGAGAGAGGCAGAGAAAATAGAGGAGAAGAGAGGATGAAAGGAAAATATAAATCTAAGGAAATAATCGGTGAACAAAAGGATGGGAAGAAAATAGAGAAGGAAAAGGAAGAAAAGAAGAACGGAACAATAAATGAAAAGAAAAAGAAAGAAAGAAGGAATATAATGATAAAGAACGACAGAGACAAACAAAAGAGAATGGAGGGAATGATACAAGAAAGAAATCAGTTGCAACAAAGAAAGGAAAGAACATTAAACAAAGAAAGAAAGAAAGAAAGAAAGAAAGAAAGAAAGAAAGAAAGAAAGAAAGAAAGAAAGAAAGAAAGAAAAAATGAAAGAAAGAAAGAAAAGGCAAATAAACAAACAAACTGTGGAGATAAAAACAAAGTAAGCAACAAATTAAAGAGAAAGAAAGAAAGAAAAAAGAAACAAACAAACAAACAAAGAAACTTATTGCAAGGATAAAAAGAAAGGTAGAATCAAATTAAATGAAAACAAAGAAAGAAAAATGAAACAAATAAAGCAAGGCGAAAGAAATTAAAAACAAGAAACCAATTACAGGAAAAGAAAGAAAAGAAAGAAAGAAAGAAAGAAAGAAAGAAAGAAAGAAACCAATAATAAAAACAAATTAAATAAAAATAAAGAAAATCTAGCAAATGAAGACTAAAAAAACAAAGAAGAAATAAATACAAAAGAAAGTAATTAAAAAGAAATAGAAAGTAAAGGAAAAGAAAGTAGGATAGAGAGAGATCAATCAATCATTTAATTGAAGTAAAAGAAACAAAAATGAAATAGAAAGAAAGAAAAAGAGGTAAGCAAATAGGCAGAAACACAAGAACAAAGCAAAAGAAAAACCAATTTATAGAAAGAAAGAAAGAAAGAAAGCAAGTAATGTTCAATATAAATTATTCATCTGGCGTTTAACAACAAAAAAGTGCTACAAAGAAATTAAGCCAGTGACGAAAGATAATGTTCAGACTTACTTTGCGTTCCCTTATTTTGTGAGAACATTTTCAACTGTTTTCTTTGATAATTAGCCAAAGAATTTTAGGTACGATTTTTTTTCCTTATTATTTGGGGACCTGCTTAGAAATCCGTAACAGTTTAGAGTGAGGTATCAAGATTCCTAAATTGCCCATCGATCCGAAGGGATTATGGGATTTCTTGCCTGTGTCCGCGATTCGAGCGCAATCTTTTAAACATGAATAACAAAAGACAGAACGATAGATTTCTTTTTCCTTTTTGCAACACGGATACATTTCGGAACAGACTCCGGAGAGGTTGCTTCCTCGATCACTACTATCTTAACCTCTTCAAGTCTAGTATCAACCTTTATCTATCCCACATACCCTCCAGCATAGAACTCCCCATTGTCCCAAAAGGGGAGTTCTATTATTCGAACAGATGCGTGATACTGACTAACAAAGACTAAGCATGTTTCTCCTTGACACACATGTAAAATCGCGTTGGACATGGCATGTGGGGAAATCGATCATAAGTAACAGCCTGCCATCCTTAAGAGATGTGAACATAGTTTGTTTAGTTTCTTGTAAATAGATTATATTCATATTGTACATACTCATTGGGGATTTTTTTTTAAATTGTTGTTTTATTCCCCTCCCCACACAGTCAATGAATTGTACATATGGGGACTATTTAGGATTTTCATTGAGACAGTGAGGTATTATGGTGGATGTAGTAAGAAAGGTACGTAAAAATGTGTTGTTTTGGTGTTAGGACTATTCTTTGTATGTTTGGGTCAGTGTTTGTGGCTAGCTAAGTTTAAAGTTAAGACAGATGAAGACCGTCCTTTTCCCCAATCCCCATTTTGGCCTTGTGCCACATTTTGTACCATAGTACAAATAAATATCGTCAACATAGTATTGTGCGTGTCTGTGTGTCTGTGAGTGTGAAATGTAAAACGTTTCATTGAAAATAGATTTGTTAATATAATTTTTCCAGCTTTTTAGTATCGAATAAAAACACATAAATCTTTTACTTTCAAGCCATTCTGAAGAACTGGATGAGGATTTTCCTTTGAGTCATTTCAGAAAAGGCGACAAGACTTTCTTACTTTCGAGCCATTCTGAAAATGAGATGAAGATTTACCTTTAATTTCATACAGAAAAAGCTGGGAAAAATATATTAAGAACTTTCGACATGAACAAAGAATTATAAAGAAAAGATACAGATTATATATTAGCGGCTTTTAAAAAAAAATCATTCATTTTCTTTCTTCTTTAATCACTAGAAATGCCAGCTTACGGAAAAAGTCAATCAGTTATGCGCCATGCGTGATACACGCTTAGGCGATCATGTATCTGTCGATACATGACTGACGAGGCAGATTTTGTTTTCCCCGGAGTAGGTTGGCACTTCTTTCTGCGGTAGTCCAGTTGCCATCCAGGGTTATAGAACCCGGTCTGTCCTGCTATTTACCCATAGCTGGTGGGGTGAGTAGAAGAGGTTTCATACCTTTCCCAAAGGTATTAGCATGTAAGTGAATGTAATGGATTCGACTGAAGGGAAAAAGTACGATGATTTATTATTTAAGTATTCACACAAATACACATACACGCATTTCTTTTTTTCCTTTTTGGATCTGGTGAAGCCTAGAAAGGCGAAACGCGTAATCAAATCTAGTCTCTATGAAACGTTTGCCATATGCACACACACACATACACATATGTATATATAATACAGTACTCTCTCTCTCTCTCTCTATATATATATATATATCTATATATATATATATATATATTATAAATTAACTGATTTAAAATATGGTTTTTCGCTACACAGTTCTAACCATGTTTCAAAAATGGAAGCTAAAAGCTTCGAATTTAATTTTGTAATTAAATTAAAGACATTAGTTCCATTTCATCTCAATTTGTAAAAAAATAAAATATCTATAAGAACACCGGATTATACATACATATATATATATATATATATATATATATATATATATATATATATATATATATATATAAAAAAATACAGTACTAGTCTCAATGAAACACTTCCATTTGTCAGATTTCTTAATAACTTTGTCGGGGATTCTATATTCTATTTTAAAACACGCACATTATTAACTGGATTTGGTGATTTTTAGTTGAAGGTTTTCATGGTATACCGTATCTGATGACACATAAGATGTAACTTCCCCCCACCAAAAAAAAATTGTTTTAATACCACCCTGCGTCTTATATGTGAAGTTGGGTGCCTCGTAAGCTAATTTTCTTCCCAATGGTATATTTTATCTCAAACGATCGCTTCTACCGATTCCAAGTCAATAAAATTACTTATCCAAACTATTATTAATATTTTAATTATTAAAGTAGCGGAAAAATAATGTCTGATTAATTACTCTTAGCAACTAATGAACTAACAGAAAATTCCAAGATCAGTACTATCCACCATCATATTACATCAGTCACTTTCCCACCGCTGTCAGGTTGCCTCTCTGTGTCTTATTCTATAATTACTTTCATGGTAATTATTCTGATAAGTACTCAACTATGGTACCTAGAATGTTTGAAGCAAAGTACTAGACTGTCATCGAGATCTCATCAGTTTACAGTTGAACTGGTTAGATGTAGCCGTAAATTCTATACTAAAATTTTCTTTTCTCGCATTTCTCACTTGTGGAACTCACTTCCGGTCCCATGCTCTCCAGGCAACTTTAAACTGCAAAAAATAAAATGCAATGTCAATCGCTATCTACTGTCCTCCTGCTTACTCTTTCTTCTTCCCGATCATAATTAATGTTTTTATTCTTAGTATTTCCACACCCTGTAAACCCTTGTGTCTTATTAGCTTTACTGCCTTGCACGAGGTGATACCAATTGTAAAAAAAGGACATTATGCACGTTTCAATTGGATGACTTCATCCTGTCGACGTTTCATTCGTTTTGACGTGTTGCCATTATTGCGCGTATTACATTATGTTAAGCTTATGAGATATCGATATTAATCGCTTCATCGTGGAGCAATGTTTAGTCAGTTAGCCTCGTAGATGAGTACTATACTAGTCAGCTTAGTAGTGAGTACTTGGAAACTACTGGCCTTGTAAATATATATCGCTAGATTTGTAGACTATTACCTCTGTATTGAATTCACTTCTCACTGAGTTCGATACCAATCAAAATTATTAATATTGTTTGGGATTAGTTGGATATGATCAGACTGAGGTACAGAAAGACGAACATAGATAGATAGATAGATAGATAGATAGATAGATAGATAGATATGAACAGAGATAGAGAGAGAGAGAGAGTGTGTGTGAGAAATATAAAATATATAGATAGACGAATATGTTGAAGTAGAAAGAAAGTGAAGGAGACATACTGAGAGATATATAGAGACAAGAATATTGACAGATAAATAGAGAGAAATAGAGAGAAAGATATCAAACTGGTTGGGCTGTGAGATCCTGCTGAAGTGTTCGATCCTCATTGGGTAGCCCAATCTTGTAGCCTTTTGTCATTAAGTAGATATCAATACATGTTTTCACAAATACACAGGGTGTCCTCCCAAAAATATAAATATATGAGTAACTACTTGTCACAGGCAAATGAAAATAAATCGGTTTCATGTTGAACAATAAAAGATTTATTTATCAAAATTCGAATAAGATATTCAAAGGGATGTAGATTTTATAACCGATTTCACAAAGCTTCTCAAATGTTCAATGTGCACACCATGTGTGACACGACACACGTCAAGCCAGTAGTCCAGCTCCTGCCAAACACGCTGTAGCATGTCTTTCATAACATTCCCCAGCGAAACAGTGATTCTCTGCTTATGTTCCTCTAGGCTTGCAGGAAGAGTGGGGATATAGACCTGTCCTTTCATATAGCCCCTTAAAAGAAATTACGAGGTGTCAAGTCAGTTGAATGTAGTGTCCATTTCAACAGCACATTATCATTATCCCTGGCACACCCGATCCATCTTCCTGATAGATTCTTATTGAGATAAGTATGTACAGTCAAATTAGTTTTTACACATGTTGCTAAAATTTGAGATCATTTGAGTCAGAACTGACCATGTTATTAGACTAGCAGATGGTTATTAGACCACAAAATGACTCCAATTTTGGGGGACACCCTGTATATCGAACATCTTTCACCAAATAGATCGTTCATGCAAATGAGCTCACCACGTGCCTAGTTCGAAGTTATATATATATATATATATATATATATATATATATATGTATGTATGTATATTTGTCTTTTTTCAAATATTTTCGGAAATCCTTCTTTGAATTGGATATTCTAGCCACAAATAGCAAAAAGCCAACTTTATTCCTATCGTAAAACATATTTTGGATAATTTTTCCTGCTAACTGAACTTACGATAGAGGCTATCACTACTGCTTCTCCTTATAGCACTGGTCTGCACCAGTAAGTTACAGATTTCCTGTTTATGTATTCAAAGATGTTCAAGACCTTCTTACCAAGTTTCAAGAAATTTCTCAGTTTAGACCACGATCTCTCAAATGCGATTTTGTCGTCGCTGTCGCCGTTGTCGCTTCATACTTACTCCCCAGAGGACATTAATGGACAAGGCATCGATATTGCAATTCAGAGACGGTTACAAAATCGATGGGACGAGCCGGTATTTGGGAGTGTGGGGTGGAAGCTCTGGGGATCAACTTAATGTAAAACTCGAAGTTGAGCGCCATTGTCCTAAGTTATAAACTGGCGGGAGTAAAAGTTAAGATATTCGGCGGCGTACTTTTGGCGGGAAAGTGTGACACCCGGGCGTCAAGTGTCGATCGACCTTTGACTAGTCTCCTTGGCAGGGATTGTGATTTGAGAAAGGTAGTAATTCTTAACGTTTTTATTCTTGTGGAACCCACATTATATACATACAGCAATTCATAAATATGTAAATATTGGCGCATCATTACATATATATATATATATATATATATATATATATATATATATATATATATAAGGAAAATAAACGAGAAGAATATAAGAATCAATTTTTTTTTTTTTGCACGTTTAAAAATTATCCGACGTCATCAAACAGCATAATTTTAGCAATATATATATGTATATATGTGTGTGTGTGTGTGTGTGTGTGTGTGTGTGTGTGTGTGTGTGTGTGTGTGTGTAATTACACCGCTACTTATAAAATACATGCTAAAAACTATTTTCATGCCAACTTTTCTGAATAGATTTTTCCCTGATTCCACATGAATTTAAGCGTGCTACTATATTGGCAATTAGGTCTCACCGCCACTTCTATTCTAAAAGTTTCTTTTCTCGCACTTCGCACTCGGGGAAATCATTTCCGATTTCTTGCTTCCTTGTCACCTACAATTTAAAAAAATATATAAATGCAACGTCAATTGCCATCTTCCGTCTTCCTGAACCCTGTTCCTTTATTGCCCTTTCCTTACTCCTCCTCACTAAAGACTTTTCGTTCTCTTTCACTCCCTGTGATCGCCTGAATCTTAGTGGCTTTATCCCTTTGTTTAGTGTGAATGATTGAACGTTATTGGTCCTGATCTGGCAGCTCGACTTCAGTCACTTTCCCAACGCTGTAATGTTGCCTCTCTATGACTTTTTCTATAAATAATTCATGGAAATTTTTCGAATGAGCTCTTCGCTATGGTACCTAGACATTTTGAATTTAAGCACACTACTAGACTGGCGTCAAGATCTCATCAATTTACTGTTAAACTGGCTAGAAGTAACCTTAAGTTCTATGCTAAGAGTTTCTTTTCTCGCACTTCTCGCTTGTGAGACTCACTTTCGGTTCCATACTTTCCAGCCAACTTTAACCTGTAAAAATTTAAATGCAATGTTAATCGCTATCTACTGTCCTCCTGATTACTCTTTTATCTTCCCGCTCATCATTAATGCTTCTGTTTATAATTCTTCCACATTCTGTAATGCCTTGTGTCTTAGTGGCTTTACTACCTTGTATGGGGTGACACCGATTGCATTGTATTGCATGCATACAGATTTTTTTTAAAATATCTAATTTCACTCTAATCTAAGTTTGCGTCAGGAGTTGGCAACCTTTTGAAGAGAGCTGGTCAGAAAGCTAATCAGTGTCTGGACAGAAGACCATGATATCAGATTTACTATTATAAATTTTCTTGACCTCAGACCGCTCCGTTCAGAAAGCTGCCTTGGTCTAGGGGTTGAAAGAAAAAAAAAACACGAAGTTTATATTATTTAAACAAGGTTTCTTATTTTACTACAGGAATAACAGGATAACAGCTAACACAAACAACAAAAAATGCAAATTCCTTAATGCAAACCAATACAGTTAGAAATGGCAAATTATTTAAAGAGACACTAGTTTCTGTTTAGTGTTCGATATCTCTTCCATATCAGGTGAAATAATTGTGGATGACAGAAGCAAAACAATATCCAGGTGGTCATCACCCAAATTTAAACGACTTTTAGCATATTTCATTTTCGAAAAAAGTTTCTTGTAAGAATATGCGCTTCCAAATAATGATGTCAGCTGCCTCTTTACGATATCTTGTGTAAGCATTATATTCGTTTGTATTTGTCTGAATACATATTCGCTGCTCACGCGCTCTATGGTATTCTCAGTATCCTCCTGTAGAACCAGATTTTTGTTGCTTCCAGACTTCTCCTCTTCTGTGAGGAAATTTTCCAGCATTCATTGTTATATCGGAGGATGGATCACTACATGTTTATAACTGGAAAATTTATTTTAAGGTTCATACGTGTAAACCTTCTAATAATAGTAAGAACCGTACAAAAATATACCGGCATTTAGGCGGCATGGGTAAACGAGTAAATTAAGAACACTGGGAATGTGGTAAATTAAGAACACTGGGAATACGGTAAATATTCTGAGCACGTTCTTTTTCGTTGTTTCTATTCTGCGTTATCTTGCAAAATATTCTTTTTTTAGGAAGAATCTTTTAAGATTTCCCTTACATTTTTTCCTATTATATTTTCTTCTTTGACCTTTTACTTCTTAATAATCTTTTAGAAACTATAATTTTTCCTTTTTTTATTCTTCAAGTATTTTTTTTCTTCAATTTATATTTCTACTTTTATAATCTGCCTCTATTTTAACTCCTTCTTTCTAGAAGTTTCATATCCACCCCTCTCCCTTTCTCTTGATTTCCTTCTATTATTTGTTGCGTTTTCTTTCTTTCTTTTTTTTTTTTTTTCTTCCTTTATTTTTATAAAATTCGTGAAAATGACGGAAACACTCTGCATAATTTAAAACCATATCTTCGATCCCCTGCCCTGAAGATCAACGTTTGGGATCATTTCACACTTTTATTCCATGTGTCAAAGACAGTCTGACTAATATTGTTCGAGTCGAAAATACTATTTCAAATCTTTATTCAAGCTTGTCGGTTAATTTTATTTTAGCTGAGCCACATTTAACACTTTAGTTAATTGTAATTGATATAATAATTAATAGATAAGAAAATACATTTATTAGGTTGAGTCGTAAATAATTTGTTTGTCAAATTTATTCTTCAAAGAATAAAATACAATTGCATTCTATTCAATTATAAATTCACCTTTATGTGCAATAACTTGTTACCGCTTATCAGGAAGTTCTTCATTAGCTTTTGAGTAAAATTTCATATGTTGGAAAAGGTTTTTGGCGAATTCTTGAATCTGGTTTTCAATAAAACCTTTTACACATCAAAAACTTTGCAGTGATCGGAATACTTAATAATCGGTTGGTGCAAAGTTAAATATGGCGAATGAGGTAGAACAGACCAATCGAGTTCCAAACATTTTATTGTGTTGTTTTTGCCTCATGCATCTTTGCGTTGTTATAGAGGAGAAAAACATTGTTTGTTTTAATCCACAATGTACTGATGAACAACATCGGAAAACTTTTAGCCGTGAACATTTTAGTTATCGATGGTAATAATTATTACTCTAGTTGTCTTCTGTCTATATTTCTTAGATGAGGTATTGTAACTATTTAAATTATTTACATTGTTCGGACTGTTGTCCTCATCTTTATTGTCATATTCACGATGTTTCACATTGTATGCTCCGGCCTTCTTCAGGATCTGTCTATATTTCTGAGATGAAGTATTGTAACTATTTAAACTAATTACATTGTTCGGACTGTTGTCCTCATTTTTATTGTCATATTCACGACGTTTCAGCCGTTGTACGCTCCGGCTTTCTTCGGGATCTGTCTATATTTCTGTAATGAGGTTTTGTAACTATTGACACTATTTACATTATTCGGACTGTTGTCCTTATATTTATTGTCATATTCACGACGTTTCGGTCGTTGTACACTCTGGTCTTCTTCAGGTGATATATGCTGGAACCGAAACCTTTATTTAGCTCACGTGAGTAGATTGTTCTTGTTCCACGTGCCATGCCATTCCTGGATATCTCAGTTTTCAGATAATTCCCTTTAGTAACTGAACTCTCCAAGATTTTTTTTTGTTCACCTCTGCTGCGGTCAGGTATTGAACTCACAACTGTTTGGGTCAAGTCACTTTTGTATTACTTCAAGCAACTTCATGTGTCGTTAGAGACATCAGCGTATAAACGGCTGGAACGAATATGACAATAAAGATGAGGACAAAAGTCCCAAAAATATAGTGTAAATCTAGTTATCAAATACCATAATTTGATGTATATCAATAAGTGATTTTATTAATTTTAACTTGCGCACTATATGGCCTTAACTGAAAGGCGATGACCTTCGTGATCGGATGGGTCTAAAATACGTAGGATTTAACGATTTTTTCTCCTACGAAAGGAGACTTTTGATCCGACGTGCTTATACCAACTCATCTATGGAGTACGGTCAAGCAAAATTGAATAGTGACTTATAAACGTTGACATCGAAGTCAACACCAAGCGACGGTAGTCTGTTTCATGCTTGAACGCAATCTTCCGACAGTGTGTTGCGTTTTGGATCGACTATTTATATTTATATATGCTGGTCAGTGGTGCATTGTGGTTAGTAAGGTCTGTTGTCTAAACGCTAATCATAACTTTAAAATTTGAAATTCTTACCACGTTAGAGTTTCCTAATAAAATACTAGTTATAATGTTGTTGTTTTTTTTGTTTTTTTTTTAAATATCATTCTACCTACATATTTAACTATATGCATATATGTATACATCTACATGTTTTTGTTATTTTATATTCGTCGGGATAATTCCAAAGAGGATATTAATCCAAAGAGAGCTTAACGTAAGAACAGAGCCACATAATAATAATAAATACAAATGATCCTTAAAAATCCATTCGGTTGTAATTTATTTCATGAATATATAAAAATATTCATTTTTTCAGAACGAAGTTTTAATAAAAAACTTTTATTAAAAAAACTTCGGTGCGAAGAGATGAATATATATATATATATATATATATATATATATATATATATATATATATATATATATATATAGCAAGTACATATATGAAAAGAACAGGTGTTCTTTATAGTGGACCTTGATTTCACAGTGGCTATTCAAACGCTTGCTTAACTGGGGGCGTCAGCAATATATTGCTTACGACCTGTAACAAGATTCAAAAATCCTGAGGAACAGACAAACGATGATTCAACCTCAAAGTTACAGAAAAGTGAAGTGAATCACTCGATAATTTTTTTTAATTTAAGTGAAAAAAAAAAAAGAAAAAGTGATTATAATTTCAATGATGCAGACGACAACGAAGAAGGGAATCCATTAAATAGACAGAGGCGTAAGATGCTGGGTTTCAGCAGAGGACTTGGTGCAGAGGAAACTCAAAGGGAGATAACTCCACGCCTAGGAGATGGCTTCATCTGTAGTCAGTCCACGTTGTCCGTCGAATTGATAGCCCTACGCTGATAAATTGAGACAGTTATTGTCGGTCCCCAGGGAAAAATGGCCACAAATTGCAGCTACAGGCCTCTCATTAGTTTATCATTAGGGGTGAAGGATACTTAGTTTGGGGGTCCGTCGAGAAAAAAAAATAAGGGGGGGAAACTGTCTGAAATGAAATGAACAAGAGTGGAGTGTGGAGGCATTCGTTGAATACTAAATAGAAGATGGATGGAAGAGTTAAGGGAGTGAAAATACTGGGAGTAGATGATTGTAGTGGGAGGTAGTTGACGGGGACAAGAAGAATTTGTACAGAAGGGGAACAGGTAAATAGCTTAAAGAGAGAGGACGGTGTTTATGCTGGGAAAGTAAGAGGTAATAACAATATGTAAGAAAAAGAGAGAGAGAGAGAGAAAAAAGAAAGAAGAAAATAAGATAGAGAGACAAGTAGAGAGTTTGTGCGAAGGAGAGAAAGGGAAACGATAGGAAAAGATAGAAAGAAAAAAATGTCTGGTAGAGAAAGAGAAACTGGAAAGACGTAAAAGATGGAAAAGAAGAAGAAATCAAAGAAAAAGAGATAGGGTAAAAAAAAAAGGAAGACTCCGAAAAAGAGACTCATTAAAAGTGGGGTCACAGGAAAACATAATGGAAAGGAAAAAAACAAGCTACGAAAAAGAGACATTGTGAAAAAGACAAAGGACGAAAATGATTGTTATCAGCGCTGAAAATGGAATCATCTATCCGGGTTCAAAATCTGACCGAGCGTGCTACATATTCGGAAAAGCCATAAATCTATCTCTTCTTTCCAACCGACCAGGTATGGGTTAAATTTCAATTTAGACTGTTCTCTATAGTCCTGGGTGGCAACCAATCTATGAGAAGACACAACTCTGAAAAAAAATAAAAACAAGAAAGAAACTCTCTTCTCTCTT